AAACTTCCTTTTCTAACATGAAACAAAGCTCTTTAAGGATAATTTGTGATCGAAATATCAAAACACAAGCCTTATAAGTGATTTAACAACAAAAAAATGGTAATAAAGCGTTGTTTATTCTGAGGAATCGCGCCCACTCTTTTGTGGCCGAGAACTGGGCCTGCTGGCCGATAACTGGGCCCACGAACGAAGCCTCCATTTTCGTTATTACTCGGGAGAAAACAGCGTTGAGCAGTCGATAGCTCTACATGTGTAAACTGAATGCTGAAGCTAGTTGTGCGTGAAATTTTAAGTCCTTACGGCTATTCCAAGGTAAGAAATACAAGTTTACGTTTTTTGTGGCCGAGAACTGGGCCCCATACTGTAGTCATTTTAAAGTCCGGTATGCTTTTGCAATTTTCACGGTATTCGTTGTTTCGAGACACTCAATGTTAACTGCGAAAATCATAACATTCATTACAAATAATATCAAACTTTCTTACCACCATTTTGATTAACCTGTGTCCCCAGGTTTGGCACAGAATTACACCTCTCAGCCATAAAGCGATCCTTTGCTTTCACCCTTCTGCTTTTCTCTCGGTCTCGTTGATGCACAGAGCTGGGTCCCCAGGTACGAATCTTTTGGTTCTTATCCGGGGGACTCACAGGAACCTCGCCAGCTTCATCAACTGAAAACAAAACAGCACGCTGAATACCATCACTTGACACACAGCTAGGGAATGGCAAAGTACTTCTTGCCAAATTTTCATTAATTTTCATTATTAATTTATTAATTCAAGAACATGTACACTTGTACTTGCACTGCTACTTAAAGAAGCTCAATCCATTTCTCTGTTTGTCTCCCTGCCTGCCTGCCTGCCTGCTTGTCTGTCTGTCTGTCTGTCTGTCTGTCTGTCTGTCTGTCAGTCAGTCAGTCAGCCAGTCAGTCAGTCAGGCAGGCAGTCAGGCAGGCAGCCAGTCAGCCAGCCAGTCAGTCAGTCAGTCAGTCAGTCAGTCAGTCAGTCAGGTAGGCAGTCAGGCAGGCAGCCAGTCATGCAATCAACAGCGTTATTAATCCTCATTCACAAATGGCTTGACTTCTAAAACCTAGGCTAAAATGTTGAAATTCATCATTCATAATCTGCCCAATTTTTTCACCATCATTCTTCACCTTGAATAATTAGGTCTTTTCTACCTTAGGAACAATTATTCTGAGCTGCCAATCTACATGTATTTCAAAGCAATATTCTCACAAGAGAAAAAAATCCTCACTTAAAATGTTCTACTTGGTTAATTGCTAGATATGTATCCAGTAGAGTAGGATTAAGCTAAAGCAACAGCAATTTACTTGTCGCCTTACATGACAAAAGTCTGAATCTCTGATGTACAGCTGGTGATGGCGGTGTTGGAGTACTGACGCCTTCTGCTAGCGCTGGGTTTGAGTCAAAGATATCTGACGTGATGGTAAACCTGTGCTGGAACCCTACAAAGGAAAAGTTACATCAGTATTGCTGTCAAAGTTCCTTTAGGGGACTACCTCAAAGGCAAGGCTTGCGCCGTCACTTACGGGAGGTGGTAGCATATGAAAGGTCACACAACAGGGGTTCCTAATTTTGAGTCACAACTTTAAGTCTTTTCTGAAGAATAATCCACGCACAAATGTATCTGTAAACCAAAAACGCATTATACAAGAACACATCTGATCTTTACTATTCTTTGAAAGCTCTTCTGTCCCAAGCATAAAATTTTTGAATTACGCAAAAAGGCTTTCCTACAAAGAGTGTAAAATAGGCAATTTTAAACTCATCAAACCTGTTGGAGCACTGATTTTTCTTCCACTCCCAAACCTCAGCTTGAAAAAATGTCCTTTCCGCTTTTTTGGGGAAGGTTTCAGCAGTTTTTGTTGCTAGAACAGATAACATAGAAAGGTATGCAACCTTACTCTATAACTTAAATACTACATGTATGTGTATAAATCAGGAGAGAATGATTTTTTTTAAAATAAGCTTATTTATTTCAACATGTTACAGACCAGGAACAATTGCACCAGATTACTTGATTAGCTCTAAATATCATACAGTCGACCTTGAAAAATGCGAATGGCACAAAAGCCAAGAACTGTCTGCAGGTATTTGCTTTCAAACATGAAACTGTTAAATATTTCCATCACCAATTTCTTCCAGGTCTACAAACCTTTCTAAATGACCTGTAAAAGTTAATAACTTCTATATCCACAACTTTCGCTTTATATATTTGGCAAAAGAGGACGATATGATCGATCATCGTATAGGTTGAAGCACTTTTCCTTAAACCCATGAACGATGTGAATTCCATTTAAAATAGAAAATTTTGCAGCATATTCTTGGATATGATTTTTGAGTCAAGTAGAAAGTATCACGAGAGTCTCGTCTCATGAGACAAATGTCTTGTCTCGAGACGAGACAAGATTCTTGTCTCGCGAGACGAGAATCGCAAGAGGGTGGTAACTTACTTTTGAGCAGTACTGTACTTACAATAATTATTGTTGAAAGAGATAAAGGATACAAGATAAAACTTGTTCATTTGACCTTTGGATTGTAAAATAGCTCTTGTGTGAGGATGCAGTCATACCTGTATTAGCATGCTGATCTCTCTTCCAAGAAGCAGCATTTCCCTTTGAGCCAGCTCTTCTTCTCTCTTTTTCAAACTCTCGGCATGTACCTCTTGTGCCATCTGTATCTGTCTGAGTTCATCCTCTCGAGATGACAGTTCCTGCAGAAATGTAAATGTGTGTGACAATAGCAAATAACAAAAGGCCGAAGATAAATGTACGTTCTCTGTCCTAAAATATACCAATTACATGGGGCTACTTTAACAGAGTGCAAAAAATGTCATGTCCAGTAGCCCATGGCTTTTTGCAGTTGCACGAGTGGATTCTGTTCTTCACTTACCCAGTAGGAAAGATCTATGAGATCTGATTTTGACCTACATTCATGAGTGGCTAAATGTTTTCTTGTGTACAGCTGTACAGCTGCTTGTGTTTGGATGCTTGAGAACCAAGGCAACTGCCTTCACAAAGTTACAAATTAAAACAATTACAGAAAGAACAGACGTTTAATAAAATTTGACAAGAAAGAAACAGTTTTTTTTTTTTGAAAAAAAAAAAGATTATTGTCAGCAACAAAAGAAGTGCAGTAATTCACAGAAAAAAAAACCAACAACAACTGTAAAAAACTTGTTACCTTCTCCTTCTCTCGCAGTTCATCAAATATCTGTTCAATTTCTGTTTGCCACCCCTCCTGCAGTGTGCGGAATGAATTCTGATCATCTTGTGCAAATGAAGAATCTGAGATTTCCTCCAGATCTTCCAAAATTCCCTGAAAGGAAGGTCGCTTGTGGGGATCCTGCTGCCAACAATCTAAAAGAGGGAAAAAACATTTTTCCCTTTACTTCTTCTCCTGCTTAGAGATTGTGCAGTACACTTGAACCTCTACTTATATATATGTCCCAAAGGTGGACACTTGTCATAAGTGTAACTTGGTCCTGGTTGCAGCCATGTACAGACGCTGCATTTTCAACCTCCCAAAAGTGAATATCTCTTCTAAGAACACACTCTTTCCTGTCCTCAAGAGTGAGGTTCGACTGTATTGTGCTTGAAGCTTGTTAAAAAAAAATATTTTATTTACATTTGGTAGTTCTCCAAGGTTACTTCCTTGTAAAATTATAATTGATTAGAAAAGCTGAATTCAAAAATTCAGGGTTTGCACACTTGTAAACATTGTGGTTTAAATTCACTTCTAGCTATATGTTTTAAACAGGTTTGATTCTCCTTCATCTTTTAGCAATTATTATAAGTCATTACATTACATCAAACAAAGGAAAAAAATATTGTAATGAAAGAGAAATTTACACTACAACTAAACACATACCAGTATACAACAGAGCAATTTCTAAACTTTTTAAACCTGCCTGATATTGATGATTACAGTTTTGCTGTATTACTTCCAGAGTGATCAATATGAGCTAAGTGACCTACTTCAAAATTTCATTTTCCATAACATTCTCAAGTTTTTACCATGTTTTCAAACACTTCTAACACCTTCTCCTTGTTTCATACCTTTCATTAAGTCTTTGAAAAAGTCAGGACATGTGCTAGGTATTGGCAAAGTCAAGCTGTTCATTGCCACACCATAAGCTACAGCCAGAGCTTCTACATCCCTGTATGGTACTTGTCCCGTCAGCAGTTCCCACAAAACTACACCAAAACTGAATGCAAAGTGATGAAATGACTAAAGTTACATGTACATTGTAAGTTAAGAGAGTGACATTAACCCTCATAAAGATACCGTACTTGACCTGACAAAGCAATAGCAAATTTCTGATGCCTTGGTGCAGCACATAACACATTGATTTGTTGGAATTCCATATTGACATGTGAGCTTTAAACTTGATGTAGTTTATACATATACAGTCATAAGATTCTTTTCAAGAACTTTTCAAGGGCAGTCCAGCAAAATTCATGCATTTTTTTCTCAGATGTAGATTAATAATTGGTGGGGGCAAAAAATTCAAGCACATCTTAAGTCTTAAATTTAAATTTCACATTTTCAACAACTTTTCAAGGATACAAGGTGATTTTTCAAGGACTTTTCAAGGCGTGTGCAAACAATGTCTTACATCAATGTCTGCTCTTGGCCAGAGGGAAGCACTACAGGATTGCTGTCATGCCCAAGAACACAACAGAATAACTCTGGCCAGGGCTTGAACTCAGATCTCTCAATCCAAGATTTACAATGTAATATGCCTTTTAAAAACCCAGGTGCAGTACAGTATAAGAGTGAAAATCTACACCAACCTCCACACATCACTAGCTTTAGAAAACGTGTTAGTTCTGATAACTTCTGGTGCCATCCAGGCATATGTCCCTGCTGCACTCATTCGTGTTGTAGTCACTATTTCTCTGGCCAGTCCAAAGTCTGTTATTTTCAACACATTTTCAAAGTTGCCATCTTCAATTTTATTCAGGAGTAAAACTGAAAAAAAGAATTACAAATTTTATTCAAGACTTTAGTTTAATCTCTGCAGGCTGATGAGTGATGCAGTGTTTGATCAGTTCAAAACAACTTATGCACATACAAGTGAGCAAGTCTGTACAAGGGAACCTCATCATGCTGCAATTTGTGTCTGAAAGAAAAACTTTGCATTCTATCCGTGGACAGATCTACGCTTCTAAACAAAAGATCTGAACTTGTAACAAAATGTAGGCACGAGAATAAGTTCTATGCAGCCAATCAGAAACAGAATCTCTCCAAACACCCTCCATGAGTCAGTTTAAATTTTGTTTCAACCACCACTATGGGCACAGTCTGATGATCGTTTTAAGCGTGAAACTGAAGTAACTGTAGTTTCTATCTCAATTTGTACATGTACGTATAAATTCTCACAACTTGTCTGTATAACCTTCTCTAAATGCCTGTACTAAGAATTTACTGGCAGATCAGTGACTTAATACAATACACTGTACATCCCTAATTGATGATTTTCTTTGTTGTCATCACTTGTCTGCTTACTACTGTACGGACATTGAAAGAACAAACAACAGTCAGGGTTGCCAGAAAGTTTTGAAGTAGTCAGAGTTTTTGGTGGAGTAGGCAACTGATTTTGCCATCTTCTCCTAGAGAATCAGGTAAAAGCAAGCCCCATAACCAGCAGAGATCAGGACGTAAATGGCAATTTTCACCAGTAGCCTGCAACCCTAAATGTTACATTGCATTTTAAAATGTCTGTTTTCATTTTTTCAGCTTAAATGCAGAAGGCAGTTAAAAACCCAGAAAAGCCAAAGAAAGCCATCATATTCAATGTAGTTGAAAGGAAAATCAAACCAAATCTAGCTACAATGCACACGTAAGTGTATGTACACTGTAGTCACAATCTTGCTAAATGATAACTCATTCTATTTGTACAATGGGTAGTTCAGGAAAATATCCATACCTTCCCCATGGAAGGGACTTTTTCTAAGACTTCCCCACCCCTCTGGAAATTCCAGTTAAGCTTCATACATTTCTTTAAATTTTTTGATCTTCCAAAACCCCCACTCCCTGGAAAATTCCAATCCCTTCTGTGGGGNTTTACTGGCAGATCAGTGACTTAATACAATACACTGTACATCCCTAATTGATGATTTTCTTTGTTGTCATCACTTGATATGAATATTTTCTGGACCTGCACAATTCATAACAAAAGTTGACATGGATGATAGAACTAATTCCACACATTATAAGCATAATTTGCTTTATGCCCATTATTTGCTTTATGCCTTTAAATACCCTTAAATAATGATTAGTGAGGTTTCAGACAAACTGATAACATCTTTCCACTAAGGGACAGACCCCTATCAGTTGCATGTTATTCTATGACCAGAACAAACAGAACTCAGCCCTTGTTTTAACTGTGTATAATCAAACGCTTCTGACCACTCAGAGTGTGCAGTTTGGTACAGTCAAAACCAGCTCTCTGGACACCCACTTGATACTGACGCAGTTATATTAAGGACAGGTTTGTTTGCTGTGACAAAAACGCTGATACATTTTCTCTTACATTTCCCTGCTTAATATGGGTACCAGATTATTAATATGGATAATGACACATTTCTGTGACTGAGAGAAGCACTCTTGTTACATACAAAGTTAACCTCAGTTTACGAATCTCTCACATGTATATTTTCATTTGTTATAACTAAATTGATGTGTGTTAATTGCACCTTGTTAGAAAGTGAAAACTTTTTATATGTTAATGTGATGAGATTAAAGCAGACCCAGAAGCTCCTGACTAAAGTTAGACTAGTTAAGTGACAAAGTTATCTTGTTCAAAACTGATGAGAGAATGTGAATTTTGACAGTGAGACATCTGACTATTTGAATGAGCATAAGGTTTCTTTACTTTGAACTCAAATTTCAGTCAAGGCACTAAACATCATTTTAAAATTGTAAATGCCTTAGAGTTTATGTCGATATCTAAGAAATACAAACACCTTAATTTGTCCCTTGGGTTAATGTACTACATGTAACCTATATGCACTGTACTAACAGTTCCAACACCTCGAAAATAATGGTCAGCCGACATGATAGAAACAAATACATGCAGAAATACTAGAAAATGAAATTCATAGCCCGATGTATACATATGAACCTCAATAGATGATGTATTCAGAATATATCCCAAAACAAGTTTTCCCTTTTTTTCCCTAAAAAATTATTTTTCCTGCATGTTAGTTGTAATACCAAAATGCTCTGTATCATTTTATGTTCATTTATATTACATACAGTAACCACCAAATGCAATGAGATATCATTCACAAAGCCAATCAGAGTCTGTGTTTTACCATCAAAATTTTATGATATACAATAGCATAAACGCAGATTTTCATTGAACATAAAATTTAATAAATACCAAGCAGAGAAACGGTTGACAGAAAATTCTAACTAGAAAAACATCTTACAAGATGGTTTTCACACCCCTAATGGTTTACACGTCTAACAACTGACTTCTCTACAAGCCAATCAAACAATCTTATCAAACGATATTTGAAGAGTATTATCAATAATATGTTTATCTGTATATCAATTTAAAGAGATCCAACGTTATGGAACTTTGTTTAAAATTGCTCTTCCTTACAATTGCCTTTCCAGCAATCGATCTCGAAATAAAACAACATACAATCGGGTTATTAAGCAGAGGCTGGTTTAAGTCTTCGTTCCAGTCATGGAACATTGTTATTTAATCTCAGATAAGAAGCTCAGTAAATGTCCGCAAAAGCTAAAATTTTTTGACTTCCTGTCAAGGAAAAGGATGAATAAACCCATTTCATCCAGCTAATTTATTTACTTTGCAGGTTTCAGGGAGAGTATCTTTGAACAATATCACCTAGTCATTCGTATTCGCGAGAGTTTTGTTTCCAAGAAGAAAAAACAATAGCTTGCACAACGGCAAATTTTAAAACAAAGCCACCGAGACTAAAATCGCCGACAGCGGAAAGAAACTGCGAAATGTTTTGCGGCAAGTCAGGAGATAACGACATCATCGATTTTCGTGCAAAACAATTTCCAAAGGCTTCCACTCAGTCGTCATTAAAACATAATGAGCATGAAAAATTCACAATAGGGTTGACAGTGGTCATATGAGCGAAACAATTGTCTTCTTGTATTCTGCTGGTGTGGAAAAAAAAACACAATATACCTGAATATACAATACCCCCGTTTCTTTCGCTGCAAATTCAACAGGGGCAAAACAACGAACTCAACATGAAAATACTTACTGTTTCCAGACTTGAGATCTCTGTGGATAATGCTCAGTGGCGCTTCATTATGTAGGTAATACATACCACGAGCAATCTGGATAGCCCAGTCCAGCAGAACAGATGGAGGTATAGTTCGGCCATGAGTGCTTAGAACACGCGAGAGCGCACCGCCGCGAGCATATTCTAGAACCAAACAAAAGTTGGGTTCCTTTAAACAAACACCAAATAAACCAACAATATTACGATGTCTGAAAATGGAAAACAGTTTGGCTTCTTTCGTGACATCCTCGACGATTTCGCTGTAGTCTTGGTAGTTTTCGGTGCGAGCGACTTTCACGGCAACTTCCTGATCATTCCAAACAGCGCGATACACTTTGCCGAACGCTCCGACACCGATCACATCTATCAGGTCGATTTCATCGAAATCAATCTCCAGTGGTTCGCTCAAACTTGTCCTTTTGGCATCTGTCGTGATATAGTTCGAAGGAAACAAGCCAATTCGTGCTTGTCCTTCCACTCGCCCTACCCACCACCCGTCATCGCCGCTAACTTCGGGATCCTTCGATAAAATTTCAATGCGATCGCTTGCTCTGAATGTTAGTTCGTCGTCATCTACAGCATCGTAGTCATATAACGTTGTGCAAAAGTCGCCGCTTAAGAGCTTCGTCAACGGAGAATTTCTCCCCGTAAATGTTTCCATCCCTTCGTTTTGCAGTCGCGTAACACTAGGCATTTGCATCGGCTCAGAACAAACCGTTTACAGATATTATACTCTGTACCTTCTTCTATATATCTGTGTATAATATCAGAGACTCCAGTAGGATTTTAAAAACGAAGTGGCAGGAAAATCGCTGCACTCGTCCGTAATCATCTCGCATAAACAATCAACCTGAATATTTTGAAAATTCTAAGAAAGCTGGTTCAAAATGGAGGAGTCCCGAGGCGGGCGCGGTTGCACTATTTCATCACGTGACTGACGTAAGGTGTTTGATTGGTACAAAGGTTGGCAATGAACTTTCGGTGCTTTAGAAAGTTGACATTCGACCGGTTACCTTGACAACAGTGCGGAGAAGTTTGGATTTTTTCACGTTTTTGCATTCTAAATTTGGAGCGGGTATAAAATAATCTTAAAGTTATTTTAGCTTTGTTTATTCTTTTAATAATAGCTTTGCCTATAAATCCTATTTTGTTACCATTTCTACCCTTACACTTCTTCACGGTGCCATATAAGCTATCGTTTGGCAATCGCTACAGAAATCGGAAAAACATGGGAGCTGTACTGTATTTTGGTTTGATGTTCAGCAGATGATTCCAAAAAAGAAACGGAGCGAATCTATGATCTGGCGGAAACGGAGCTGGTGAACCAGAAAAACAAGTGTACGTATTGGGGAATCCCCCAGCTAATTCTGACTTCATAATAACTATCTTTCCACCGAGTCATTGCTAAAATTAGACATGACTCCATATCCAAACTATGACACTCTAATTGAAAGATTGTACTTTATACTATCATCTCACTTGACGAGGGGGGAAATATTAATACATGCATTGTACATTGCTGTTTGTTTCTTATCACTCTTGACTGTTTCCGACCCTTCGGCTAAATCCTCAACATCTATGCCGTGTGAATGTTTCGCGTTTCAATCAGGCGGTAAAGAGTTCTAGCTCGCCTCAGTTTATTTGCTGCAAAACGAAGGGACCTAATTTGAAATAAGAGGGTTTTCCCTCAGCCTCAAAACATTGCGC